CTGACCCCTGGTCTCCAGTCCACTGCCCCCTCACCTCCTCCTGACCCCCGGTCTCCCGCTTGCTCTCCTCGATGGCCATCTGCAGCCTCAGGTCATCCCCACGACGAATCCGCTCCTCCTTTGGGGAACGAAGCAGGGGGCCAAGAGGGCACAGAGGTCAGGGATTGAGACCAACCCCCATGCTGCCCTAGGACCCTCTCTGATCTGACAGACGGTGACTGGAAATTAAAATGGGATGGGACGACACACGGAATAGGGAACGACCAGGCTCTGACGACGGGAAGATGAAGACTCATGGAGGTGCCATGCTAGGGGACAGTCCCGAGGGAGAGGGACGGGGCTAGGAAAGGTCGGGGAGGGGGACTGGACAAAGAGGACAAAGACCATCTCCGCACAGAGAGGGTGGGGCCTCAGGAGGGGAGGGTGGGGCCTCGGCAGGGTAGGGCGGAGACTTGTGGGGAGGGCGGGGCCTCAGAAGAGGAGAGTGGGAACTCGTGGGGAGGGAGGGGCCTCTGCAGGAGAGGGCGGGGCCTCAGGAGGGGAGGGCGGGGACTGGCGGAGAGGGCATGGTGTCACTGAGGAAGTGTGGGGCCTGGGGGGAGGACAAGGCCTGAGCTAGGGGGCCCAGGTCAGCATTCTGAGCAGGAGGCAGGGAGGACATGGCTTCAGCTGGAGCACCTGCTTGGCACACAGTCCCAGAGACACCAGAGTGTGCTGACGGGCCTGCGGCCGAGACCCAGAAAGGACAAGATGCAGGAGGAGCCCAGGGGTCTGTGGGTGCTCTGGGGAGGGGCAGGCGCTGCTCTGACCTTATCGTGCTCCTCTCGGCTCAAACTAAGGGCCAGCTGGAGCTGGACGTCATCCTCGGGGCCGCAGGACGGGGGCTGGGGGAGAGAGAGTGTGAGGGGGGCAGGGAGTGGGGGGCCGACAAGAGTCCAGATGAGGAGAGAGAGCGAGCAGGAGATAGAGAACACACGGGCACAAGGAGGGGGACAGAGATGGAGGGCGGGCAAGAGCAGGAAACGTTACATGAGGGGGCCGGAGAGAACCCCAGGTCAAGAGAGAGACACAGAGAGACTGGGGGTTTACGGGTGCCGAGAGGAGAGGAAGAGACAGGAGACAGTATGAGGGGAGCCCCAGAGGCAGGAGTCGTGAGAGCGAGCACACAGGAGAGAGAAAGTGAGCATGCGGGAGTCCCTGGGTCAACACCAGAGAGGGGACAAGGGTGGGGGGAGAGAGAGTGTGTGCGCGCGTGTGCATCCAGCACCTGGCAGAGGACAGCGCGGTCCAACAGGGAGAGTGGAGATGAGGAAATGGGCAGAGGGTCCCCACGTGTGCTGAGTGAGCCCCCAGACTGGCAGTGGGCTGTGACATCCAGAAAAGCAAGGACGGGAACCCTAGGGCATGTGGCAAAGGTGGAAGAGAGGGAGGAGGGGGAGGGGTAGGAGGAGGAGGAGGAGACAGGGAGAAGGAAAAGGAAGGGGGCGGAGGGAGAGGAGGAGGAGATAAAAGAGGAGGAGGAGGAGTGGAGGAAGGAGGGTGGCAGGACAGGAGGACAGAGGGCGTGGAGACGGATGGAGGGACAGCCCCAGCGCGCCCACCCGCCCGGTACCTGGTCAGCCTCCTCCTTGCTCATGGCCAAGGCCAGTTGCAGCTGCAGCTCCTCCTCCCCACTGCTCTGCGGCCACGCCTGCTCAGCCTCAGCTGGGGGCCCCGATGCCACGGCTGCCGACGAGGCTGAGGGTGGGGAGACAGTGAGCACAGGCCGAGGGGCCAGGGAGAACCACTGAGACCCAGACCCCTGAGGCGGCAGGGGAGGGGTCGGACAGGGAAGAGCAGTGAATCGCATCTGCCCTGTGCAACAAGACAGGACCAGTGTCCAGGGGACAGGAATATGCCGACAGAGCTGGAGGAGAGACGGGAGTGTGTCCACAGAGCTGGAGGGCACTACAGGGACCAGGACGTGGCCCCTCCTGAGGCTGGCCCAGAGCCTTCCTGCTGCCCACCCACCAGGGCTCCTAGCTGTTGAGAGCTAGTGTCCCCCAAAAGCCCAGACAGAGTCAAGGAGACCATGGGAGGAAGGGGCTACACCCAATCAGGAAGCTGAGAGGGTAGCTCTGTGGGAGGCATCCCCCCCACCACAGCCAGGCATGGCCCCGTGGTGAGGCACCCCTCGCAGCAAAGGATCCCCCGAGCACAGTGAGGAGGCCCCACCCCCACCCCTCCACCCCACCCCCGGCTGGGAGGCATCCACCTCAGACCACCTGCACCCTGGCCTGCATGGCCGACAGCAGTGCCAAGGTGCCCACTTAACACCTGTCAATGACCAGAGTACCCAGTCTCTGGTCAAGCCCATCGTTGGGAGCCACAGGCCCAAAGCAGCAGGGGGCAGACGGAGGAAGGAAGGAAGGGCCCACATGGGCCTGCAGCAGGGTCACAGGGAGGATGGCGCTGGAGGGAGGACGGGGCAGGCAGGTGGATAGGGAGGCAGGATGGGAAAGGGAGGATGGTGCTGGAAGGAAGGGTGGGAAGGGGGACAGCAAGTGAACAGGGGCAGGCAGAACGGGGGTGGCAGGAGAAAGGACAGAGACGACGGAGGACGGGGTGGGAAGAGGAAGAAAGGATGGGAGATGGGTGGAAGGGGCGGGAGGAAGGACAGGGACAGATGGACAGGGCGGGAGGGAGGACAGGGAACGATGCAAAGGGCGGGAGGTAGGACAGGTAGGTGGACAGGTGGATGGAAGACAGGTGGGAGGGAAGATGGGTGCAAGGACAGGTGGGCGGAAGGCCAGGGAAGGACGGGCAGGGCAAGAGGGAGGACGGCGGGCTGGAGCATGGAGGGCAGACAGGTGGGCAGCCAGGCGGGCAGGAGGATGGAGGGCAGGCGGGCGGGAGGGCAGGTAGGCCAGAGGATGGAGGACAGGCAGGTAGGCAGGAGGACAGGCGGGCGGGAGGGCAGACGGGCTTGGAGGATGGAGGGCAGGAGGGCAGGTGGGCGGGCAGGCGGGCGGGCAGCTCACCGGTGGCGGTCTGCGCCAGCTTCTCCTTGGTCTTGAGCGCGTGGGCGCGCTCCTCCCGCAGCCGGTCCTCGTCGCGCAGCAGGGCCACCAGCTGCTTGGCCTTCTCCCGCACGTTGACGCCCTGATCCTTGCCGTCGCGGTCCACGTACTGGAAGTCCTTGAGTGTCTGCACCGCATACATGTTCTCCTTGCACTGCTGAGACACGCGCTCTGAGCCCGTCTTGATGAGGTACTCCATCAGCGTCATGGCCTAGGGGACAGGCGTGCGCTCGGTTCAAGCCTCCACGCGGGGAAGGGGGACAGCCAGCACTTCAAATGTCCCAGCTGCTCCACAGGAGGCCACTTCTGCCTCTCAAGATTTACAGCCTCGGCGCCCCACAGGGTGGTTATGAACCAGATCCGACAGCAGAAGGGGGTGGGGGTGGGCAAGGCAACGTGCAGAGGGGTTAGCTGAACTGGAAAATGGGACCAGGGACAGAGACCGGGTGAGCACACGGTGTCACAGACGTTCCCAACGCTGTGTGGACGGGGGACAGATGGGGACTGAGCACAGTGGCACAGACGTTCCCATTTCCCATGAACTAACGGTGGTGGTCACAGGCATCCAGATGCCAACACCCCCCGATCAGGGAGGATGCGCGCGGCGTGAACAACTCTCAATTAAGCAAGTGGCCTTGCCACTCGAGCCCGGCCAGAGCCTGCACCGCTCCCCTAGAACAGAGATCTCATCACGACAGAGCAGGAACTCCGGAGGGCTGCAGTTAGAGCACTGGGGGGTTCACAGGCCCAGCAGACCCGGTTAGAGCACTGTGGGGTGCACAGGTCTGGCAGGGACCCGGTTAGAGCACTGTGGGGTGCACAGGACCTGGTTAGAGCACTGTGGGGCGCACAGGACCAGGTTAGAGCACTGTGGGGTGCACAGGCCAGACAGGGACCCAGTTAGAGCACTGTGGGGCGCAAAGGCCCAGCAGGGACCCGGTTAAGAGCACTGTGGGGCGCACAGGCCCGGCAGGGACCCGGTTAGAGCACTGTGGGGTGCACAGGCCAGACAGGGACCCGGTTAGAGCACTGTGGGGCGCACAGGCCAGACAGGGACCCAGTTAGAGCACTGTGGGGAGCACAGGCCCGGCAGGGACCCGGTTAGAGCACTGTGGGGTGCACAGGACCTGGTTAGAGCACTGTGAGGCGCACAGGACCTGGTTAGAGCACTGTGGGGTGCACAGGACCTGGTTAGAGCACTGTGAGGCGCACAGGACCTGGTTAGAGCACTGTGAGGCGCACAGGACCTGGTTAGAGCACTGTGAGGCGCACAGGACCTGGTTAGAGCACTGTGGGGCGCACAGGCCAGGCTGCTGTTTTCTGTTCAGTTTGAACATGGCAGCACTCTTCCCTGGAAAGGACCCTGGCAGTGGCCACTGCACCTTCCCTGCGCAATCGCACTGAAGGCGGGAGTGACGTGACGCGGTGGACGGGGCTGCTGACCCCGGCGGCCCGCTCCCTCGGAGGATGCGGCAGAAGAGCAGTTAGCGCACACAGGGCCCCCTGTGGCCACCTGACTGACAGGTCCACCGAGCTCGCTGAGCTCAGGAATGCGGGAGAAGTCTTGCAGGGTAGGACACTCAGGCGGCAGCGATTTAAGGCAAGGATGGTGGGAATGGACAGAGAAGGTCTGATGGACAGCGTCTGAGTGGACTCAACGTGACAAGGCGGGAGGTCAGAATCCACCCACTGCTCTGGAGGTGAAGGACGGGCCTCCTGGTCCCTGCAATTTTCAGCCTCAGGAAGCGGGCTGGAGGCTCGGCTGGGGTCGGTTCCGACCCACGGACACACGATCAACTCCTCAGCAGGAACTGCTCCAGAGTGTGTCTGTCTCTTGGACTTGTGACGGTGTGGAGTGAGTGTGCTGAGAGAGCTGGTCTTACGCCCAGTCTGCATCAGTGACACGGACCCACACACTCCCCTGCCCCCTCCGCCAGCGTGTGTATGGGGGGTCCTGCCATGGCCACTCTGCCTGGACCTCACGTCCAAAGAGAGGACGGGATGGAAGGAGGGACACAGGGACGGAGGGACGGGTCTCTCAGGGCAGCTCTGCTCTGCCTGGAGCTCAGTAGCCTTTCCAGAAGCACGCTGAGGTCACGACAGCTCCTCGCCGCAGGACGCAGCTGGACGCGGCCGAGGCCAGCAGGCAGGGCGACCTCATCCCTATCAGTCAGTGTGTAACTCGCCCGGGGGGTGCGGGGTGATAGCAAGCGAGGAGTAAAGTCACGTGTGGATCATATGAGCAGACCTGCGGGCTGGGCCGAGGGTCCCGTGGGCACTGTGCTTACTCCACGACAACGCACGGCGACCTCTCAACAGACGAGAGCCCGGCCGATCCCGCGCCAGCCTCAGCGCCCCGTACCAGCCTGGTCATCTCTGCCACGCTCAAGGCCAATGCCGCAGCCACTGCGTCAGTCAGTCTGGTCAACGGCCGGCTTCTCCTTCACCGATCCTCTACCTTCCCCCAGCACACTATCTCCTTCCAAGGACTGGTCCCTCCAGAAAAGACGGAACCCCTACAACAGGCTAGCAGGGCAGCTCCACCGGCCTCCAGGCTCCCTAGAGCGGGGCGATGGAACCACCTGGAACGCGCGTCCAACGTGATGGGACGACAGACCTGCAAAGAGATCCATCCTGGGAGGACAGAGGACGGCGTGCCGACTATGTGCACAGCTCTTCCCACCCCCTCCCTGTGATTCTGTTTTCCATTCATCCTTCCTGCCTTCTGTCTGGGCAGACACTGCCACCTTAGATGGTTGACTGTTAAACCAATCACTTTCAAAAAATGACATAAAAAAATAAAATACACATACACAAGTATGTATACATATACACATACAACATATATGCGTGTGTGTGTGTGTGTACGTATATACATACATATGCTTTTTAATTATGAGTTTTAAGACAGTTTACAGAAAAGTTAGATTTAAGCCAATCACTTGTGAGACCCACACCACCTCCAAAGGAAGCAAGAGAGACAGATGCCACCTGAAGGAAGCCAGGACCAGGAGACAGAGGTCCTGGACCGCCCCTCAGTCATCACCCGGAACCTGAACGGGAACTCTGCTCCCAGAGGCCTCCACCCCTGGTCCAGCAGCACAGAGGAAGGCAGACCACCCTGCACGTGTGCTCAGTCACCCCCCATCACGGGGCAGATGCGAGCTGTGCTGGGGGCACCGAGAGCCACGGCGCCCCCGGCTCAGGCGACTCATGGCTGACGGCAAAGCCGTGAGCAGCTTTCGCGTCCCAGGGCCTTCTGGACTTTGGCACCACAGCCAGAAGCCAGGCCTCGGAAGTCACCGCAGCGCTCACCGACAGCAGAAAGCAACAAAGAACCCTGAGGGCCCCGAGGCTCCACTCCCCGTCATCTGACGGCCTGGAAGGTGATCAGAGTCCCAGGGAGAGGCACGCTCCTCAGAAAATGCGACTCTGTGAGAGCCAAAGGGCAGCACGGCCCTGGGAGGAGGCTCAGGAGGCCAGAGGGGCCAGCGCAGAATGAAGAGTGGAAAAAGGCCACCCCGGGGTCAAGAGGGAAGAGCGCTGTGACCCGGTGTGGACGGCAGCCACCCCGCAAATCAGTGTGGAGGGTGCTGAACGGTAAACCAACACGCTGTCAATTCTCACCCCACGGGAAACAGGACGGTAACTCCCAGGCAGGGACACCACACGGCAATGCGACGAGAAAAGCCACCACGCAGACCCAGGAACCTCCCTGTCAGGGTCACGGGCACCAGTGGGCACAATCGCCAGGCGACAGAGGCTACCCAGCGTCCAGCCACACCAAGCAGACGGGCAGACACGCTGTCGGCCTGCTCTCTGCACACCAGAGCTCCGGTGGCTCCGGGAAGGCCAGCAGTTCAAGCCCACCAGCTGGTTCTCCGCCTTGACAGGGACTGCCGTGAGGTGCCCTGGGCTCGAGTCTTGCTCTGACAGATCGGAACCCTGTCCTACCCTGTGCCATCTTCACCAGCTGACAGGCTCACATCCAGGGCTGCGGTCACTGCATCCCTCCAGCTGGCCGCGGGGCTGCCTCTTTCCCTGACCGTCCAGCTCTCCAAGCATGATGGCCCTCTCCAAGGACAGGCCCCTCATGACAACGTGTCCACTGTATGAGACAAAGCTTCGTCATGTTCGCCTCCAAGGAGCACTCTGGCCGCGCGCTCGCTCGCTCTCTCTCTCTCTCTTCTCTCTTCTCTCTCTCTCTCTTCTCTTCTCTCTCTCTCTCTCCAAGACGCATCGGTCTGGTTTTTCAGCAGTTCCCGGGACGTTCAGTCCTCTTCTCCAGCACCACAGTTCAAAACCATCGGTTCTCGTTCTGCTGTCTGGACTCATTACCCAGCTCTCAGATGGACAGCAAGGCACTGAAAAGCCCACGGCTTGGACCAGGCACACCTTAGTCCAGAGTGCCACCACTGCTCTTCAGCACGCTGAAGAGGTCCCTAACTCCAAACTTCCCCAGCGCAATGTCTTTTCATCTCCCGACAGCTGGTACCAAGACAGCGGACTGTGAACCCAAGTAAATGACAATCACTGACAGCTTCAACCTTCCCTCTGGCACGGCGCTGCCTACTGGCTCAGCGGTGAGGACTGCTGTCTTCCTGAGGCTGGGCTGTAGTCCATACTGAAGGCTGCAGTCCTTGCTCTTCTGCAGCGTCTCAGACTCTCACCTCCAGCAAACGAGGTGCAGTATCTCTGCGATGCAGACCGCCGAGGAGTCTTCCTCTGATCCTCTTGGAGGATGTGTTTAGGGTAACGATCCTGTGAACAGATCTGAACCCTGCTCTATCCCGGGCCATCCTTATCACCTGTGACATCCGAGTCTGTTATCAAAGTCTCTGTGTCAGTTCATCTCGAGGGTTTTCTTCTTGCCCTTTTCAAGGAACAGCCCCTCCTAACAACGTGTCCACGTATGTGAGATAACGCCTCACTGTCCCTGCCTCGAAGGAGAACTGTGGCCGCACTCTCTCCAGGACACACGTGCCTGTTCTCATGGCTGTCCAGGGGCCAGTCAGTCCCGTCCTCCAACAACACAGCTGAAAGGCCTCTGTCGGCCTGCATCAAGGGCAAACTCTCACACTCACAGCAAGTGACTCTAAAAGCCCATGTCTCCACACTGACATCAGTGGACATGGAGAGGTCCCTGACAGAAAAATTTCCCAATGCAATAAATCTTTTGATCCCCTCAATGCTGGGACCACAGGTGTTAAGTGGGGATCCAAAATGTAACTGTTAGGGGAGCTCTGGTGGCCTAGTGGCAAGAAGCTGCAACTACAATCCCAGAGGTGCATGGTTCGAATCCACCAGATGCTCTGCTGGGGAAGGAGGGACAATCTCCTCCTGTACCAGTCAGATCTGATGTGACGGTACAGGCACACAAAAATAATAAAATAAAATAAATTTAAAAAAAACCAAAATGTAACTGTTGACAACGTCAATCTTATCTCCAAGTACCACAATGTTGCTTACGGTGAAGATTTCTGGCTTCCCGACGTGGGGACCCACGTGGAAGGCCGGACGTAGTCTCTGATGCTCTGCAGCGAGCGCTTCCAGTCCTCCTCACTTTCAGCAAGCCGGGTGGCCTCAACGTGCATTATGAGCGTTGCTGAGGAATCTTCCTTCAACTCTGATGCTGCATTCTTCTTCGTGAAGTCCGGCCTGTCCAACGGTGTGCTCAGCATACGAATGAACAGGTATGCAGAAAGGACACAGCCCCGCCGCACACCGTTCTGATCGTCAACCACGGGGCCTTCTTCTCTGGTCGGACAACGACTGCTTAGTCTCCAAGCAGGATCCCTGTGCGCGGGATGAGATGTTCTAGAATTCCCACTCCGCTCAACATTAGCCATCGTTTGTCCTGATCCACAGTCCAGTGGCTTTGCACAGTCAGGAAAAAGAAGGAAAGAAAGCCAAGCCACACACAGACCTCCTTCTGGGACTCTCTGCGCCACCAGGCAGTTCCGCTCGGTCGTCTGAGTCAATCAGCATCAACTCCACAGAGACAGCTTTGGTCTGACTTTGTTCTGTTTAACTCCAACGCTTGGGTTCACGGCCCTTCACTAACCCAGTGTGGTCAGTCGGCTCTGGCCCACGGCTGCCCTCCGCCGGGCCTCCGCCGGGCCTCCCCAGCCATCAGCTGTGGCCCACGGCTGCCCTCCGCCAGGCCTCCGCTGGGTCTCCCCGCAGCTGCCCTCCGCCGGACCTCCCTGGCCGCCGGCTCTATTCCACGGCTGCCCTCCGCCAGGTCTCCGCCGGGTCTCCCCCAGCCGTCAGCTGTGACCCACGGCTGCCCTCCGCCAGGCCTCCCTGGCCGTCGGCTCTGTTCCACGGCTGCCCTCCGCCGGGTCTCCCCAGCCGTCAGCTGTGGCCCACGGCTGCCCTCCGCCGGGCCTCCCTGGCCGTCAGCTCTGACCCACGGCTGCCCTCCGCCGGACCTCCCTGGCCGCCGGCTCTGTTCCACGGCTGCCCTCCGCCAGGTCTCCGCCGGGTCTCCCCCAGCCATCAGCTGTGGCCCACGGCTGCCCTCCGCCGGGCCTCCCTGGCCGTCGGCTCTGTTCCACGGCTGCCCTCTCCCCGGCCGTCCTATCCTCAGGAGGTGCTGACCTTTCAGTCAGCGTGCTGATGCGGCATAGGACACGTCACCAGGGTTTCGCAAACGCCAGGAACTTGTGACAGCGGCAGTTTCAGGAAGAGTGTGAATAATCTGGTGGGCCACCTCCCTCGCTGCCCTGGCGTCAGAACTGACTCACAGCGGGCCCTCCGCGGGGTTTCCAAGGCCATAAACCACACAGGTCGCCCTCCTCTCTCCCCTAGGGCTGCGGGTGGGTTCCAGTGCCAGCGAGCCGTGGCCTCTGGGTCAGCAGTGCAATTCCCAAGGTGCCAGGCCACAAGAAAACTCAATGAGAAGGTCCAAGCGGCCTCTGCCAGCCCAGGGGACCAACGAAGACGCAGCGTGCGGCCACCTCGCTGGAGGGCACTCCCCGCTCTCCAACAGCGCCCTCCACCCCGGATCTCTAGTGGGTACTGACCAGGTCTTTTCCTTTCCACAACAGTCCGAGGGAGCCCCTCTCAGGCCTGACCGGTGCCCCAGCGGGCATGAAGACCGACAGCACCGTGCTGACAAAGCCACAGAAACCAAACCTCACCAGGCAGGGATCGAAGGGAGCGGCTTTCACCGAGTCCCCGCGGACGGTGGCACGGTCACGGGGGAAAGCAGGTGGGGACAGCCTGCACGACGGGCAATGCAACCCGCCGCCCACAGACCAGCCGCCCAGACACAACCACAAGGGCTGCACCTGCCCGAGAAGAAAGCTCCAAACGCAGGAAAGGAAAGGCTGCCATCCACGGCAGAGACATGAGCTGTGTGACCAGAGGACCCACACACCCGATCCACCCACCCCAGTACCCACACACTGACGACAACACACACACCCCAGGATCACCCCGCTGGACGGACGGTAATCACTGAACTGGTGGGGACACAGTCATATGCACACTTGAAAAACAGAAAAGGTCATTTAAAAAACATTTAAGTTAAAAATATAAGAACTTTTTAAGTTAAGCAGTAGAAGATAAAAATTATGTTTAAATTAAAAAAAAGTTCTAGGGAGCTCTGGTGGCCTAGGGGCAAGAAGCTGCACTGCAATCCCTGAGGTGCGCGGTTCAAACCCACCAGATGCGCCACTAGAGAAGGAGCGGTCATCTCCTCCTGTACCAGTCAGGTACACACGCAAAAAAGAATAAAATTTTTTAAAAAAAGTTCTGTTGTCGTCAAAATAATCTCGTGACCAGGGAAGCACACAGTCCCTAAACCGAGCAGGCACTCTCACTCAAAGTGCAGTACCTGACCCGAGACGGACCTGAGACAGAAGATCTGTTGGGAAGGACAGACAGGAACAGGAAAGCCAGGCCAGGAGCGAGCCGAGTGCAGTCACACGGAGGCTGCAGCCCACGGCTCAGTGCTGAATGGAGAGCCCTTCATGCTGACCTTCTGCAATCAAGGCCCTCAACTCCCAAGAGCACCGAGGTCTGCGTCACACCTGCCTTCCGGGGCGCCCTATCCACCGGAGCCAGGCTTCCCTGTCAATGCCCCGCGTGTGGGCTTCAACCCTGTCCTAACACTCCTGACCCCCGACGTGAGTAGGCCTCCTGCACAGATCCCAGCCCCGGGAACCTGCGGGCAGCCTGCGGGCAGCCCCACCGTGAACCAACATAAGGGCAGAGTCGTCCACCTGGTGGGGAAAGGCCAGCAGAGAAGCCAAGGCCGCCATGGAAGGGAGCAAGACCAGACTGCGTCCTCCCAAGTCTGTGCCCCACGGCCAGGCCACAGGCTCAGCGCTGTCTCCACCCACGGTCCGTGACGGAGGAAGTCACGCTGTGCTGTGAGCCTTCCCTGTGGCACTGCCACAGCCACGCAGCAGCCGCTCCCCACAGGCCCCCACAGGCCCCCCAGGTCCAGGCTGCAGTGAGTCAAAGACACGCAAGTCAAAGCAGGACTCAGGCGCACCAACAGCACGGAGCGGGGCGTGTCCCCTGGACCCCGAGTCTCTGCACTGAGAGGCTCCCAGACCCAGGGGAGGGGGAGGCCAAGGTGGGGACAGGCCGTCAGGCACCACGCCCTCCCACACAGGTAACACACCTCAGTCTCACGGCAACACACCTAACCCCTAAGCGCAGAACTTTCCCAAGAGTCTCCATGTGAAAACAAGGGGGAGGCGGCCGGGGCTCCTGCATACAAACACATCAGGCTTCTCGGGACTGGGGAGGCCCAACCCTAACCTTCATCCTGCTCTAGAGGTTCCCGACCCTTAACCTAAGCCCAGGGCCACCCTCTCTCCCGAGCCGCCCACCTACCCTAAAGCCACGCTGAATAACCTTAACACAAGCTCTGAGCCTTCCTCTAACCCTTCCCTCGACCATAACCCTGAGGCCACCCCAGTCCTAACCCTCACCCCAACCAAGGGACACTCCAACTCGAAACCTAACCCTCCCCTAGGTCACCTCCCCACTAACTGGACCCTCCCCTAGGTCACCTCCCCACTAACTCTAACCCTCCCTCCAGCACCAGTACTAACCAGAATTCTGACCAGGACTGCTCACAACCCCCTCACCTGACCACTCATCTGCTAGCCCAGGCTGGTATGTGAGTGACCAGGGCACTGGACAAGGGGATCGCCCAGGGGCAGGGAGCCCAGGGTGGAGGGACCCCAGGAGGGGAAATGGAGGAGGGCAGGGGCCGCAGCCGAGGGACCACGGCAGGCAGGGACCCCCGGGCGAGGGACTCCACGGCAGGGGACCCCACGTGGGGACCAGGTAGCGGGCCGCACCTTGTAGACGTGCCTCCAGTTCTTGCCGTGGTCGTTGAGCCGCTTCCAGATCATGCTCATAATCTCGGAGAAGGCGACCACGTTGTAGGTGAGGTCCGCGATCTCGGACATGAGGGAGCTGGACGGGCCCCAGGGGTCGTTGCTGGTGGCCTCGCGCACCTTGATCTCCGCCTCGGAGTAGTTGTGGACGATGTTCTTCATCTGGCGCCGCAGTGACGAGGTCGACATGGTGCCTGTGGTGGGAGCGGGGTGGGGGGACAGGCCCCCGTGACGAGAGCGCTAGGAGGGTTGGCTGGAGGCAGGCGGGCGGGTCAGCACATCTGGGGGAGAGGAGAGGAGAGGAAGGCTTGGACACAGTCGGCGAGTGGAGGATGCCTGGCTAACCTCGCCTGCAAGCGCCCTTTCCACCTCTCAGTTCCTCAAACTCGGGGCTCCTTCCCTTTCTGGAGGCCTGTGAGTGGACGTCTGTGGCCGGGAGGCGGCCAGGCACCCCTGCGGCACCCAGGGGGGGGCCGCTGGACTTGCACGCGTCAGTCTTTTTCTCTGTGAAGCGGGGTGGCTGGGGCACTGGAGGTGGCAGCTCAGGGCAGACTCATGCATCCTGCCCTGGGGCCTCTCCTTCTCACACTGGGGGGCCCTGGCCAGGCACCGCTTGGTCTGCGGCTCTTAGGGCCTCTCTGCTGAAACCCCCTGTCCCCGCCCCAGTGTCTCCCCGGCTCCCTGCTGTGTCTCTGCCCATCTCGCCCTCACACCTCAGGGACCTGGCTCCGCAGTGCCCATGACTGGAGGCGAGTAGAGTGCCCTACAGGGCTGAGTGACCATCGGCCAGTGGAGGCCAGAAGGGTCAGCAGGTGGGCAGGCAGGCAGGCAGGGGCTCGGGGCCCAGGTAGAGGCAGCCAGGCAGCACCGGGCAGGGCCGGGCAGAGGCCAGGGAAGGCCTGAGGAATGCTGTGTCCCCGGGGCGGGCAGGAGATAAGGAGAGGTGTAGGAGATAAGGAGAGGTGTGTGCCAGCCCACCAGGGCCTTATCTCCCCAGGACACACGGTGCTGGGCTCGGCCAAGGTCACAGCAGGAATGCCACCCAGCAGCCCGCAGCCACGGACTGGCAAAGTCGGGGGAAGGTTCAGTGAAAGGAGCCCTGGCGACGCGGGGTTAAGCTGTCAGCTAACCAGAAGGCGAGTGGTTCGAACCCACCAGGTGCCCTGCCTTGCACAGACCTCTTCTTAAAAAGCAAGCCTGCTGCCCTCGCCCGGCTCTGCCGGAGCATCTAACCCTCTCCGCGCGGAGGCTGCCTTTGGGCAACTGGGCAGTGTGACCTCGGTCAGCAGCCCAGCACCAGAGCTCCTCTCAGCCAAGGCTCAGTCCTGGGAACCACAGCCCGCTGCCACTCTGCGACTCAACACCCATCAATCCCACGGGACAGGCTTCGGCAGAGCCGCCAAGCTATGACGGACTAGAGAACAAGGCCTGACGGCACACACAGCAGGCGGACCGTCCAGCAGCGGGCCCCTGGAGGCTAACCCTGGCCCACGGAGACCACCGCCACAGGCTTTCCTGCCTGTCACATCTGTGTCCACAGACTGGCAGGTCTTTCTTGCAACTAAGAGTTTAAGCACTGCGCCACCAGGGCTCCCTCCATAAGAGCAGTAACAACAAAAATAAAAGCCAAGCTCACAGCCACCTGACGGCTCAGAGCTGACCTGCACAGAGCAGGGCGTCCAGCCCGTCGTCCCGCCCGGAGGGGCTGGTGGACGCGAGCTGGGGGGGCCCTGGCTGGTTTACCCACCTTGCCGCCACCCTCTGCCCCGTGCCTGGCATCGCACACATCTTTCTCCAAGAGAGCAGTTGGTGGGTTCAAACTGCTGCCCCTGTAGTCAGAAGCCAAGCGCTGAAGCCCTGCACCACCAGGCCACGCAATGACAACCATCAGAAACCCAGTCCCCTGTCAAGGCGCCCCCGACCCCGGAGGCCCCACAGAGCAGAGCGGAGCTGCCCCTGGGGGTTTCAAGGCTGTCACCCTCCACCCAAGCAGGAGGAGCCGGTGGGTCTGAACTGCTGGCTCAGGCACAGCTTTGACCACTCAGCTTTGACCGCTGGGGCACCTTTCAAGTGGGCTGGCAAGCCCGTGTGACTCGGACACTTTCTCACACGCCAGCGAGCCCGGCCAGCTCCCGCCGTCCTCCACCAGCTGCCCGGTTCAGGGAGGACCCGGCAGGGACGGCCCTGCCCGGGCAGACGCGCCATCCCCACCTGCCTGGCTGCACTCCACAGCAGGTTCCAGGGCGGCCCCCCAATTGCTTCAGACCGGGGTGACCCTCGAGGGCACAGCGGAACTGTCCCTCGGTTCCCAAGGCTGTCAGGCTCCGTAGGAGCACACCGCCCCTGGTGGATCCGAACCGCTGACCTCCAAATAGCAGAGAGGGAACAGCCAGCACCCAAGACGGGTCAGATGCACAGAGTAAGGGTGAGTGACAAAGGTCGGAGAGGAGAGGGAGGACAGGAAAGCAGCAGAGAGACAGACATGACAAGGCGGGTCAATGATGCTGTCAGAGAAAAGCAGGGAGGCCGGGGCGCGAGCAGAGACCCTAGGACAGAAGGGCGGTGGCCTTGGAGGGACAAGTGCAGGGGCTAACGGGCCAGACGGGGGCTGGACAAGCAAGGCGTCTATGTGCAAGGGCCAGCCACAAGGCCACTCCTGGAGGGGAGTAGGGACCAGCACTCCAGGGTTCTCCGGTGGACTCCAGAGTGTTCCCTGGACTCCAGGGCTCCGCCATGGACTCAGGACTCCCCCGTGGAATCCAGAGTTCCCTTGTGGACTCCAGGGCACGCTGGTGGACTCCAGGGTCCCCCCATGGACTCCAGGGTCCCCCCATGGACTCCAGGGCACGCTGGTGGACTCCAGGGCTCCCTGTGGACTCCAGGGTCCCCCCATGGACTCCAGGGTCCCCCATGGACTCCAGGGCTCCCCGTGGACTCCAGGGCCCCCCCATGGACTCCAGAGCTCCCCATGGACTCCAAGGCTCCCCGTGGACTCCAGGCACCCCC